AATTTTATATCCTTTCCTAAATTGTATTCATTCCAATATATATGTGTATTTGTATTCATTATGATTTTCATGTTTGGGTTTGTATAATGATATTTGTATTTCTTTATTAGTTTGTATTCATTCTAATAAGTATGCCAAATGAAATACAAATTATTAAAATTTCGTTGACAAACAACTTTGGAAGAAGAATTCCCAACTCAAACTTCGATATAATCGGTGTTCTCCAAAACTGAAACTTTCTTTTTTTATTATGTTTTCATCATAATTGTATACCAACAACTTTTGCATTTTATGTGCTCACTTTACCATTCAAATTAAAACTTAAAACTGATATTTTACTTTCATAGTGAAAACTAAAAATTGTATCCGAGTGATCAAAATTGTATTACATAACTGCCAAATATATTTTTCTTTTATTTATTACAAAAATGTTACTGATTGTATCCCAATATAATCTAATCATTACATATAAATACGAATTAAGAAAGGATACAAACTTATTTGTATTCATTTTGCGTTTGAAATACAAAATGATATTGAAATACATAATTATTTTTGGAATACAAACTGAGCTAGAAAAATAGTTGCTACAATTTTAAAGTGAAATACTAATAAAATAACAAAACTGGATAGTGTAATATAAATACAATTATTTTCATACAACTTATTCTATGTTTTTCGAAAACAATATTTTCAGTGAAATAATAATAATATAACAAACTGGAATATAAATACATTTTAGTTTGAATACAACTTAATTGTATCCAGCAATCACTACAAGTCAACAAAAATCTGTATACAACCACTAATTAGTTGATGTTTTTTACTCCATAGTTGTACGTTGTCCAGAATTGTTATGCTTGTATCCCTATATTACAAAACATCCGTAAAAAGCTATAAATCCCAATACATACAAAGATTTCACTGATTTAATCAGGAAAAAAAACAACAATTATACTCGACATATGCGAATATTTCATCCAAACAAGAAAAAATAAAAGAAAAACATTCCAGATTTATTGATACTTGAAGACTTCAACATCCATCCATATTGTTAATATTTACAAAAAAAAATTGTATTCATTCAAATAAAGAACAAACAACTATGAAACTAAAAAAGAATCAAGCACTTTCAAGCCGTATGCATCATATATTGGATACAAAACATATGATTGTTCCTTAGCGTGTTCATGTGCTTTTTATGGACTTCAATGGAACTGATGTCGAAATTTCAATAAAAATTTCAAATCATACAAAGATTTCACCGATTCAAAAGAAACAACAAAATTAAATACATGATGTCTAAATTTCTTGTATTCATTAGAACTGACGAAATTATAGTCGTGGAATTCGAAAACATCCAATTTAAGAATATGCCGAATTCGATTCGAAGAAGCTAGGAATATTATCAATTGAATGATTAGGAAGACAAAAACTTTTTTTGCAAATTTTTTGTTTGGAATTATTAACAATGGAAGACCAAAAAACGCTCCACAGAAAGTGAACCAACATCCACGCTTTGCAAAACATAACTGAAAAGTTTTTAAATCTTTTTTTCCTTTTTTGATGTTTTATGTTCCATGTTTTTCTCTTTTTTATTATTAAGTATATTTGTATTCTTTCAGATTATCATAATAAAATAAATACATAAATCATCCTTTTAACAAAATAAAATATTGTCATTTTTAATAAATAGTTAAAATGTTGCTAATGAGTCCCACCAAAGACTTAAATATTGCTGTTTTGCTAATTTTCCCTTAAATTTATACAAATTAATAAAATAGCGTAATCACATCAAAATGGGGGGGAGGGGGGGATATATTTAAAGTTTGAGACAATCAAAAACAGTTAAAGAAATTCATAGAAAACAAATATCTAGATTCTAGAACAATGAAATTGTGTTAAAAGTTATTATGAGATGAAAATCAACTACCACGTCTAACTTTTCAAATATATTTAAAGTAACAGTTAAAGAAATTCATAGAAAACAAATATCTAGATTCTAGAACAATGAAATAGTGTTCAAAGTTATTATGAGATGAAAATCAACTACCACGTCTAACTTTTCAAACAATTAAAAAATTGGGATATGTTTTAAAAAAAAGTAAATTGTGATATGTTTTAATAAAAGTTTCAAGTTGCACATTTTACCTTACTAAAAGTAAATAATCAATAAAACTTTCTCAATGTAACAATGTCATAATATTAAAGATAACTCCTTCATGAAAAAAAGGTTAATCAAAATTGCTTTCAAATAGCAAAATAATAATAATCTAATAATTTTTAAGATATATAACTAGAATAATTAAGAAGACCAATAGCAAGTGAAAGTATAAATTTTGGCAATGTTGTAGACTTATAACACGTTATTTGAATTAATTACTCTTTATTTTTATATTCCTTAATGGAACCTTTATTATTTTATCAAATAATATAATTTTGAGGATCAACAAAGTTAATTAAGAATTTAACACATGATTCACATAAAATTATTAGAACAAACTCTAAATATTGAGTGTGGAGGTTCACGTGCATCTGTTAATCATGTATATTTATCTATCTTGAGAAACTGACAATAAATAAATATATATATAACAATGCCTCCATAAAAAGCATAGAAGAAACTTGATATCGCTAATACAAGCTAAAACATTCAGCCATTCACCCACCCAACTAGGATTCGATCCCAGCTAGAACCTCAGTTTAGCTTTTATAGCTCTCATATTTGATCTATATATTTTTTATTAATGTATTCGAAGTCTTCAAATTGTTAGACGTGGTTTAGCTAGGATGCAAAAGCCACCCTTGAGCTTTGGTATAATAGAGAATCGAATCTCATTATGTAATATTCTTTCTTCTTGTCCTTCTCTCTGTCCCACATTCCCTCTAAAATAATATTAATAATAATAAATTCTTTTTTAAAAAATATAATATAATATAAGAAATTTTAGGGTTAGGTGTACATGTAATTTGGACATAAAATAAATATAGCAATCATAAAACAGAATGAAAGCTACCAACCGACCACCAACGCTAGGATCCAAATCTTATCCAACTTATTTGCCAAATATATTCAATGATTTCCATTTCCCATCATACACTAAAGCTAAATATACTCCCTCTGTTTCTATTTATGTAATTTTTATTAAAAATAGATATTTTTTAATATTTATCATTTCACAAAAATTAACGTATAAATAACATTATTTTTCCTACTTTACCCTTAAGAGTTATTAGTCTTGAAAATATGAATTTGACCAACATAAGATCACTAAATAATTTATTCATGTTTATTGGTTAAATTATTTTATGTTTATTTATTGAAAGCTTGACTTCAAGAGAATATTAAATAAGGATATAATGATAAACTTACTTAGTTTCTTAAGAGACGTTAAGTCTAATGGTGATATATAAATATAATTTGTCGAGTGTATTTTTTTTTTGGTACCAAGGTTATCAAATATCAATATCTTTGGTACATTTGCTTATGTAGAGATCTTTAACTAATATGTAGTTTTTAATTAACTTGAAAAATAAGGTATAAAACCATATTTCAATGCTACCCCAAAAACTTTTTAAAAACTTTCTCATAAAAGTCGGCAGACTAAAATATAAGAGTGGCTTATGATTGGATAATATATTCTTCAATGCTACCCCAAAAGTCACAAACAAGGGGCATTTTCGTATCTGACCAAAACGATTGTGGTACAGTAGTAAGACTATTTCATTCCTAATTAAAAGTTTTGGTTTTGAGCTTTAGGTATTAAAAAAAATTATGTTAAAAGCGTTACTCTCTAATGAATCATGCAATGCGCTTCCAAATTTAATTAAAGCTACAGTACAGACATCAAACATCGAATATAAAACCAAAAACAAGGGTCCCTTTCTCAGCCCACGTTTATTAAAATAGTTGAATTTAAAAATTTACTTTATTTTTTTGGTACATTGAATTCAAAAGTTTATCCCATGCCCAAACTTAAATAATTCATCCACCTCAGCCATAACCAAGCACTTCAACACTTATTGAGCTTTGAAGCCAACCCCTCAAATATTAAATTTGTTAAATTATTTATACGTGCCCTTTAGTTTAACCAATAGAACATTAGATTCTCCAATTGTTTTATGTACATACTTCAACTGATTTTTGCATTTTGTCATCATTTACTATAAATTGCAGTATAACTGAGAGTTGTTGAAAACAAGGATTGGTTAGAAACTGAACTTTTGGTTGTTAAAGGCTGAATTTTTTTGTCTTTCTTGATTTGGTTGGTGAAAAAAGATTTGAGTCTTTTTTGTTATTCTTGATTTGGGTTTCTCTTTTAAAGGAAAAATATTGAATTTTTTTTGCTTATTCTTGATTTGGGTATTTCTTACAAGGGAAAAAGATTGCGTTTTTTTGGTTATTGTTGATTTGGGTATTTCTTACAAGTGAAAAAGATTGAGTCTTTTTGGTTATTCTTGAGTTGGGTATTTCTTTCAAGTGAAAAAGATCGAGTCTTTTTGGTTATTTCTTTCAAGTGAAAAAGATTGAGTCTTTTTGTTATTCTTGATTTGGGTATTTGTGTTCTTTTGAGTTTGAGATTTAAGAGCTTGTGGGTGTGTGATTTAGTGATTTTGGATTGGATAGAATGGAGGAAAAGTATGAGCTTTTGAAGGAACTTGGTGCTGGGAATTTTGGAGTAGCAAGGTTAGTCAAGGATAAGAAGACAAAGGAGCTTTTAGCTGTCAAATATATAGAAAGAGGGAAAAAGGTAAGTTTTTTTGTTATCAAAAAAGTTTGTTTTTGTACTTTTGTTTGTAGATGCTGTCATTATATTTCACTTTGTTAGGTTAAGGATTGTGTTGGATTTGCTTATTTGGTTGATTTTTCTACTGAACTCCTTTACTGGTTCTACTTTAGAATTTGTTAGTTTTGAGGTTTTGGGACTTCTGAGTTTGCAAAGTCAGCTTTTGTGTTTTTTGCAAGAAGTGTTTGCTTGAGCTGAAATGTTGCAAAAAAGAGTTTTTAAAAACTGATTTAGGTTTGAAATGCAGTTGACATTGTGTTGTTGCTCATTCAACTATAAGCCAAAGTAAAAAGGAGCAATTTTGGCCCATTGCAAAAGCTTTTTTAAGTACAATATTTTTCTCCTCATTTACTAAGTTGTATCAAATGCTTTCAGCCTGATGTAGTAGTTATTGTTACAGTATGTAGTGTTTTCTCCTTTGATTCTGTTAGCCTGATGTAAAGGTTGCTTTATTCTTGTCTCAGATTGATGAGAATGTGCAGAGAGAAATTATAAATCATAGATCGTTGAGGCATCCGAACATTGTTAGGTTTAAAGAGGTAAATACTTCCTTTATATTAATTTGTTATGAACCTGAGAATTGCATATATCCATCTGATGTTTACTGTATATGTTCTTTTTTATAATCACATTGTAAGCAACATTATTACCCTTTCTGAAACAAAAGGATTGGACTTGGTAGAGCTTAGCTTGCCAGTTTAGAGATAGCGATCACTATGCTTGTATCGAACCTGGATAGATATGATTATCATATGGGGATGACTTCCCAGATTAAGTGTAAATAGAGATAAATTGCATTAGTTCTCTTTTGTTAGCAGAGTGTATATTGAGTATTTAGCCGACCCTAACTTGTTTGGGACTGAGGCGTAGTTGTTGTTGGAAATAAAAGTACATTTCAATAGTCCTGTTGTTAAGTAAGCAGAGTGTATATGAGTAATTCCTTGCAGTTATTAACTTAAAACTTCAAAACACAATTTACAGGTCCTGTTTTAGTCTATATAGGCATAGCAATTACATAATCCCCTCTTGAGCAACTGTAATATTGAGTGTTAAAGATGGATTTTTGTGGAATGCTAACGATGAGTTCATGGGGATGAAACTTTAGTTAGAGATATTTGATTAACCCAATTTTTGTTGTAGTTGGCCTATGGATTGATTGTTTTCTTCATCTCTTTCTTGTGCACACTATGTACGTTTTTAGATTGCTGAGACTCTGCAATCTAATACACCTATCAACTTCTGTTCTGTTCTATTATTCTCGTTTTGCTGTTCATACTTGTCCATTAGACTACTTGGCACATATATTTAATACAATGTACTCAATGGACCATTACACATTCACAGTTACATGGCATACTCCCTTTTTTGTAGGTCCTGGTTACTCCGTCGCATTTGGCAATTGTTATGGAGTACGCAGCAGGTGGAGAACTTTTTGGTAGAATATGCAGTGCTGGCAGATTTAGTGAAGATGAGGTTAAGCAGATATCTCTAATTCCTCATATTGTTCTATGTTTGATGAGAATGATCATGTTGAACTAATTAACTTCATTTTTTGTGTCAACAAACAACAGGCTCGTTTCTTCTTCCAACAGCTTATATCCGGTGTCAGCTACTGTCATACCATGGTAAATTTGAAAATACATAAACATCTTGTTAAATGCTCATCTTTCTAGTCATTCTCAAATCGTGTTTTTACTTTCTCGTAGGAAATTTGTCACAGGGACTTGAAACTGGAAAACACTCTTCTTGATGGAAGTCCTTCACCACGTTTAAAAATATGCGATTTTGGTTATTCCAAGGTTTGTTCTTGACTTCTAGTTATGAAGTTTACTATGCTACATTTAACATGATGTTAACTTACTTGTATATACTTTATCATGCAGTCTGGTTTGCTGCATTCACAACCAAAGTCGACTGTGGGAACTCCTGCTTACATTGCCCCCGAGGTCCTGTCACGAAAGGAATATGATGGGAAGGCAAGTTCTCTTCTCGGACATTGCTTTAGTTTTGTCACTGATTATTACATTTAACACGACGCTAATATATTTACATATTCATAATGCTTAGTTACATGACTGTATTCTTTTCTTGTTGTTTCACTTGAATGCTGTGCTCATGTTATCGTTATGCATTTTTCAGATCGCAGACGTGTGGTCATGTGGAGTGACACTATATGTAATGTTAGTAGGAGCATACCCTTTTGAGGATCCTGAAGATCCGAAAAACTTCAGGAAAACCATTGGGGTGAGTTGTGTATACTTCTTTCGAATGTTTGAACTAAGTACAAGTGTGTTGAAATTTGTAAACCGTAGTCTCAATTAGCGACTAAAGAATCTTTTATTTGTGTTCAGAGAATAATGAGTGCCCAACACTCCATACCCGACTATGTACGAATCACACCAGATTGCAAGAACCTCCTTTCGCGAATCTTTGTTGCAAATCCCTCTAAGGTAAAACTCATGACTTAACTATGGTTTGTTCATTAACATAACATGTATATTGTTGACTTCAATTTGTGCATTAAACGTTCGAATTCCCTATTCAGAGGATAACTATTCCTGAGATAAAGAAACATCCTTGGTTCTTAAAGAATCTGCCAAAAGAGCTGATGGATGTTGAGCACACGAAATTCGAAGAAGCTTCAGAGCAACTACAACAAAGTGTGGAAGAAATCATGAAGATGATACAAGAAGCTAAAATACCTGGAGTAGTGTCAAAATCTGAAGGGAAAGATCATGCAGGGACAACAGAACAAGATGATTTAGAGGAAGACCTCGAATCGGAAATCGACAGCAGCAATGACTTTGCTGTTTATGTCTGAGGATGATATTTTATGATCAATTGGACTTATAAGAGTAAATGTTTAATTTTTATCTCCTATGAATTGTCTATTATGTTGTACAGAAGAGTTATGCACAGAGCTATTTACTGAGTTCTAAGTGTGCATTTCAAATTTGTTAGATGGATGTAATGTTTGCTACAAACAGATTATGTAACTTTTGAAGTTTTAACCATTTGGTATCTGTCTAATTTGGATTCACGTTGTGTAAGCCCCAAGTGGGGGTAAAGTGGTCTCAATTGTAATGTTCTACCTTTTCAGGGCTAGAAGTTGAAACCTCTTTAGCTTAAATGAAGAGATTATACCATCACATCACAAGTTGTAGTTAGTGTTGGAGTTCGAATTTTCGCTAAGATCGATGAGTTACTTTATGTTAAATGTTAGTTTTCATTCATATATATTAAATTTTGTACACTTTTAGTGAAATTCGTGTCTATAGAAAAGCAAGGCTAAAATGTTCAAGATCGAATGATCTTCAATTAATTCATGCTAATAATGTATGTTGTTATGTGTTCGAATAGTGAAATTAATTATTAATATTTGTATCTGAGTAAACAACCTATATTAAGTGCATGATTCTTCTCTAAACTCGTAAATATGAAATACTTTGTGTACCAGACTGCCTTTAATTTTTGTAATAATGCATACCTAACTTAACAATTTGAAAATAACTTCTTTCATTTTCTAGTCTATTATTTCCAAACTAATTGGCTTCATCGTTAATTCTTATAGTTTATATTAATGGACTAGAAAACAAGTTAATTTATGATCTCAAACTAACTGACTTCATCGTTAATTCTTATTTTATAACATAATATACATGAAATCCTAGCCGCCATAAAATAAAGATTGCCACCAACACAATAAATTGCAATTTATTGAAGGATTAAAAAGAATAATATTGATATCCTCTATTATTGGTGTAAGTACAACTTTACAACCTAAACCTATTTAAAATCAAAATATTATGTATTAAAATAATGGAATTAGTTATCTTATATAGTAACTTAAGATGAATTAGTTGACATGCGTATATGAGATCAGTGTCCAGAGCCACCATTTTTTAAAAGATGTCAAAGGACACTTCTTTGTTTCAGTAAAAATTACCTTGTAAGATAAGATTATATATATATATATATATGTTGAATTAGATAACTCGATAATAAATTTGATTGAGTACTCTCATGAGTATTATTAATCGAAGGACATTTTTACTCAATTCTACGTACTTTAATAGTATATTTAGTCATTTTCATTGGATATATTAATTATCTAATTAGATTAATTGGTGGATGTTGTTAAAATCTATATATATATATATATATATAATAAATGAGAAACATAGACAAGGTGATGTGATACCTTTCTATAGTCTCCGTTTGCATTTTTTGTTTTGCATTTTTTTCTTATTTAAATTAATATTATATTATAAAATCAAATTACTTAAATTATTACAAATACATATTTTATTAATGGAGTAACATTTGTAATAAAGTTTCACATTCTTTTTTTCTTTGTTAGCCTCACTTCTAATCATAAAATCATAAAATATTTTAATATTTAATTTATTTAATTTACGAGGAGTAATTTCCCATTACCTACACCTCTTTAATTTTTATTTTTAATAATATTCAAGACTCTCATAATTTTCATATCCATAACCTCCAAATGTAGCAAAAAAAAAAAAGTACATGAAGGTGAGAAATACCTCATTTCCAAGAATTTCTTTTATTTTCTACATTTTGCCTATACAAATTCATATTTAATTTCATGAAAATTATATTTTATCTTCTTCATATATTAGTTTGTGAATTAACTAACATTTTAAAAAAAGAAGTATATGGAAGGCAAGAAATATTTCATTCTCAAGCCTCTTTTTATTTTTATGTATTTGAACATATTTTCTTAATATTTTTATTTATGTATGTATTATCATTCTCCAAGCAATTATGAATAAAAAAAGCTTTGTAATAATGAACAACATGTTGTTAGTATGTGATTGTTCTCTTTAATATAGTTTGATTACAATATTTGTTAGATTCAAAGATGGTTATTATTTATTATTAGTACAATCAATTTTTTTTTTTTTTTCAGATACATTACATATAGTTTAGATTTCTTTCTTTCTTTTGGTATAATCACTTTCAATTGGTATGATATTTTATTTATTCATAATTATGTTTTTTTTATTCAATTGGTAGCATATGATGAAGAGTTTGATATATGGAGCACAAAATATGACGGCAGATCTACTTGCAAAGAAAGATGGTAGAAGAAAAACATTTTTGAAGCATAATTAAGGATTACTTTTGTTAGAATATTTTTTTACTTTGACATGTATTGGTAAGGTAGCTACTTTTACTAGATTTTTTAAAACTTAGTTTGTATAAGTAATTTAACTACATGTATTGACAATGCTAACCATTTGGTTCTTTACTATTCTATTTTTTTATTAAGCACAATTAATATAATTATTTTATTTTTTTAAAAATAATTATGATGATCATGTGCTTCATTTTTATTATGCTTGCAAGAAAATAATTAAAAATAAAATGTTAATTCTATGATGTGTTTTTGTATGTAACAATCTGTTTTCGTAACTATTTTTTTTTTATTTGAAATGTATTTATATTTTTTTTGTTCATTATTTTATTTCTATCTCTTATTTTCACATTTATTTATTTATTTATTTTTACAAATAAAATCTATACATGATTATTAATGTAATTAATGTCTAATAAAATTCATAACTCATGTCTCTTCATTTTACTTGTAACTTCTACTCTTAACTATTGTTCTAACTTTTTCATGATTTTTATAAATATTTAAAAAATTATAATAAATAAATTTAATAATAAAGACACAATGAATTCAAAAGTGTTTTTAGTAAATTAGAATTTGTACATAGGATCATAAAAAATATGTAATACAATATATTGTTATTTTATGATATGATCTTTTATTTTATTTACTTCACCACGATAAATATTTTATTCTACTATATACCTATGAATAGTTTGCACTTAAAAAATATTTTAAAAAATCATTTTTTAAAAAAAGATGAAAAGTGTATCATATTGCAGATGAAGAGAATATCAATATTGTCTATATATCTAATACTAACATGAATATAAATATTATATATTATTATCAAATAAATATTTTTTATAGCCGCGCAAAACGCGAACAATTTCACTGGTAAAGGATAAATCTGAATCAAGTGTTGGATTTTTCTATGGGGTGTTTGTTAGTCAAGGAGAAGTCAGTCAATGCACTTATTCCAATTTAATTTCTGCGTTTCTAAAGGGTCATGTGGAATAGATCAATCTAATTAAGGTTGAAAATAAATTCTTGGAGTTCTTTGCCTTTTGCACCACGTATGTACATATTATATCAGTATAATTTAATAAGTGAAATATATAAAGAATAAAATGTACGCACATCATATACTTTACTTTTATTTTTGTGGAGGTAAAAAAATTATTTTTGATAGATCATCAACTCTAAAAAATGAAAAAGATCGAAGCGGAGTTGTAAAAAAAGAATATCATGACAACACATACAACAAGAAATAAAACAAAATATCAAGACACATTAGAAAGAAAATAAATAACGATAGCAACGTGACAAGATAGACACATCTAAAGAAATACTTAATAGATAACAATTTCTGTTCCCATTTCCCAAAGGTCACCTTTCGTTTTGTCCGAAAAATGTACAAAAACTATTCTATTTATTAGAAAACCACCTTAATACAGTATATGTAAGATAATCAAACATATATCAAGACTTCCCAATTAAATGTTGTGGTGAAGTGATAAGTATTTCTTCATTCTTAATAAAAAAAATCCAGGTTCAATTTTCAAGACATGAATATTTGAATTATCTTTGATAAAAAGCGTTTTACTCTCTCATGTAGATTTTCTAACGAGATCAAATTAATCGGGCCTCAAAGCATGTAGTGAATAGAAAGAAATTTAATAATAGTAACAATAATAATCATCAGCGTTTGTAGTCCAACGGTTAGGATAATTGCCTTCCAAGCAATAGACCCGGGTTCGACTCCCGGCAGACGCATTTTATTTTTTTAATATTCTCCCTACTTATTAATTTCAAATATATTGTCCCATTAATCCTTCAAGGAAAAAAAAATATCATAAAATAAAAACATTTTTTAAATATTCTCCCTACTTATTAATTTCAAATATATTGTCCCATTAATCCTTCAAGGAAAAATAAAAATAAAAAAATCATAAAATAAAAACATTTTCTTGTACATATGTAAGAGCGCTCGTAGGTCAGTCTATTCGACTTTTTCTTGCAAATCCTCTCTTTTCCGCTATTGAGACATTTATTTATTTATTTTTACTTCCTCGTTTCTAGAGATAAAGTAAACTTGTTAAAAAAATCAAATGAAAAAAAAAATCAATATTATCATCTATTATACTATTGATTTCATTAGATGTGTTGTTATAATATTGATTCATATATGTCTTTAATATTACAAAAATGACTCAAATTTATTCTTCTTTAGTTGACTCGATTCATCAAACTCACCACATTAATCCTTTTTCATTCTTCTATCATTACCCAAAGTCACCAATATTTTCACACATATGTAACATCACAATCAACAATAAATCATGTACCCTGTTGACACCTAATTTTGACCCTCCCCGATAATAATTAATTTCAAGTTTCTTAATTTTCAAATGATCTAAAGTAATTAACTTTAGAAATTTCGAAAATAAATAAATATATATAATAGAATAGTTTGCAAGTTATTTCAAATAGTTTGTCACTTGTTATAATTTTTAAATAATAATATGTCTTTTATATAATTATGTATATAGTTAGTGTATTTTATAAATATTAGAAAATCGTCTCAAAAAGATTTTGTTTAATTAAATATTTGGTTAGTTTGTTTAGTTATCTAATAGTTTACAATTTTGAGTTAATTAGTTAGTTTATAATTAAGTTAATTATCATATAATTATGTGTCTAATTAGTA